TATTAAAACCTGTTTAATTACTAGTTGATACTAAATGCTGTTTAATTACTAGCTGATTTTAAAATCCTGATTAATTATTATTTGATATTAAAAGCTGTTTAATTACTAGTTGATATTAAAACCTGTTTAATTACTAGTTGATACTAAATGCTGTTTAATTACTAGCTGATATTAAAACCTGATTAATTATTATTTGATATTAAAAGCTGTTTAATTACTAGCTGATATTAAAACCTGTTTAATTACTAGGTGATATTAAAACCTGATTAATTACTAGCTGATATTAAAACCTGATTAATTATTATTTGATATTAAAACCTGATTAATTACTAGCTGATATTAAAACCTGATTAATTAATAGCTGATATTAAAACCTGATTAATTACTAGCTGATATTAAAACCTGATTAATTATTATTTGATATTAAAACTTGATTAATTATTATTTGATATTAAAACCTGATTAATTACTAGCTGATATTAAAACCTGATTAATTATTATTTGATATTAAAACCTGTTTAATTACTAGTTGATACTGAATGCTGTTTAATTACTAGCTGATATTAAAACCTGATTAATTATTATTTGATATTAAAACCTGTTTAATTACTAGTTGATACTAAATGCTTTTTTGTTCGAATTCTTCTTTATTCGCCAAACAAAACTTGTATTAATATAGGTATTTCAAGAATAAATAACATTAATTTATTATTATATTCTCCTCAACAGCAAACTATTTAAGATGATTCATCTACGAGTAGACTGAGTTTTGTTTCTTTCTCGCCTTAAATCCATCATGTTAGTGACAACAAAAATAATACATTTCCTTTTGAAATTTTTATAATGAAATTACCTTTTCTAAATTTCATTAATTTATATATATATATATTTTGTATTAACATATACACATAAAAAAAATGCATTGATCTCCAAATAATTCTCTATCATATACAAAAATAAATTAAATTTCCGTTACTTAATATATATATATATATATTGGCCTTGTATTAAAAGTTCTGCACTGGTAATCACATTTGTACAAAGTATAGCAGCGTTTTCACGATTTTTTATTAGTTTTTTTTTAAATTCAAAATGTAAGAACACTTTATATTCAGGTATGGAAGATAAAAAAAAATCAAGTTAATCATCATATTTTATTGGAATGACCAAATTTAGCATCCGCTACAGGATGATTAGTAGCCGTCACTACATCCATAACACACTGTAACCACCAGTATTTTCATGTTTACACGATACCCCGACCTTTACCCGGATGATTAGAAGCCATCCATAACACACTGTAATCACCAGTATTTTCATGTTTACACGATACCCGTCCTTTACCCGGATGATTAGAAGCCATCCATAACACACTGTAATCACCAGTATTTTCATGTTTACACGATACCCCGACCTTTACCCTGATGATTAGAAGCCGTCCATAACACACTGTAATCACCAGTATTTTCATGTTTACACGATACCCGTCCTTTACCCGGATAATTAGAAGCCATCCATAACACACTGTAATCACCAATATTCTCGGTCTGGATACCATAACCGGTTTCACTTGGACAGTTTTAAAATAAAGTGCACGTTCCACTTGATATGTTGAAATTTAACTTCTTCTAAACATCAAATAGGATTCTATCACTAATATAGACTGATTTAAAGAATGTAGTTATATTACTGCGTCTCTAAGGCTATACGTCGGGTGTCATTGAACTGGTGTATTATTGTTGTTGTTATATATATATAAACATTTCTTTAGTGTATTTTCTGTGAATAAATATATGTATTTCTGTAGAATTTCAGATTGATGTGTTCTTATAAAAACTAAATGCATTTCTAACCTCATCATCCGAACACTGATGATAAGAGTTTATCATTTAAATATCTTAGTAAACTAGACCGAAACATCATCATCAAGCAGAAGAAGTCCAGGAATTAACCGCTATAATACAACCTAGAGGTTATTTACAAATCTTCCTCTGACTGATGTGTAAAAACAAATATTTATGGCCAGGTGGTTAGGGTGAAAGGATGAACACGTTTGGTGGACCGGAGATTCCGAGTCGAGCTCCCTAACCACCTGGCCATGCCGGGCCAAATAACAAATGAGACACTGTGAATAAAACACACACACACACATATAATTAAGTATTTACTGTTAGTTTACTAAACTTACGTTGCTATATTGCGTATTTGTAGTCGAAGTTGTAACTCAAGAAAACTTAAACTCTTTATTCATATATATATATATATATATTTGATTACGTAAATTTATATGTAATTATGTATACAATTCTAAAGCTTGACTGCTATGATTGAAAACTAGAAATTATATTAACGTACGTAATAAACTCTTAGTTTCAAAACTACATTCATAATGATTTATACAGAAGGAAACAATCTTATTGTTCCATAGGACGTCATCGTGGTAAGATCTTTTGTTAACCGGGTTTTTTTTCTGTATTAATTATCGTAATTCTATAAATAGTTTTGTGTTTTCTGAGAACATTGAAAAACAAAGTTATTCTAAACTTAGCTTATCTGTAGAACGTGAAAACGGGACATGCTGAAAAAAAATAAAACAGTTGACTAATGAATTACCCTCAGTAGGAACGAGTAACAGACTTTCTGTATATATTCAGCTCATGTACCAAAGTACGTACGCTTGTAGATAATTACGTCAACTTTCATTCATATGGCCTAAATATCATTGGTATGAAAACAAAACAACTTGTAATATACAAAATGATGGTTAAACACGTTTATCGACAGAAACCAAAGATATGCTAATTCATGTAATATGCATGGTTCCCCTAAACGCTGAAACAAACTTTAGTAGTTGATACGGTGTGTATGTTACCTTACATGTTAAAACAAAGTTTAGTAGTTGATGTTCTGTGTATGTTTCCTGTGCGTGTTAAAACAAAGTTTAGTAGTTGATGTTCTGTGTATGTTTCCTGTGCGTGTTAAAACAAAGTTTAGTAGTTGGTGTTCTGTGTATGTTTCCTGTACGTGTTAAAACAAACTTTAGTAGTTGATGTTCTGTGTATGTTTCCTGTGCGTGTTAAAACAAAGTTTAGTAGTTGATGTTCTGTGTATGTTTCCTGTGCGTGTTAAAACAAAGTTTAGTAGTTGATGTTCTGTGTATGTTTCCTGTGCGTGTTAAAACAAAGTTTAGTAGTTGATGTTCTGTGTATGTTTCCTGTGCGTGTTAAAACAAAGTTTAGTAGTTGATGTTCTGT